TGAGGTGGGTCTTAGTGGTCTTAGTAGCCTTTGCCATGACGAACTGCACAAGCACCAGCACCATGTTCCCCAAAACGATTGCCCAGTGCAAGCACCAGTCTAGAGACCAGTTGTTGATGAAAGAACTGCCCAGAGAACAGTGTGTGAACACGCTGGTATCGAAAGCAGCGAGGGTCACGATGGTTTTCCAAACATCCTGAAGGGGCCCTGTGCTCGATTGCCAGTTCGGGAACAACGTAAACACCCACAGGAACTGCAGGACTGCAATGGCTGCAAAGAACAGCGTAGCTTCGGCTTCCATTGTCATGGCCTGCCCCAGCCGTCCCAAGACCTTCTTGTGATGCCTGCAGACCTCTCGGAAGCTGGTATTCAGGACATCCGTGGCAGCCTCCCATCGCAGGATCACCATGGTGGCAAGCAGAGCCAGGACTAGAACAATCCGTCCCATGATGCTAAGGACCTTCTGGAATCCGCTGCACTGGTAGCATTCGGCGTTTGTCATGTAATGGTCCTCTGCACATGGCACACATCGAACACCATCCGGAGCCCTTCCAGCGGCACATTCATTGGTGGATGTTGTGCTGCCCGCCAGGCAGGAGTCTGAAGGAAAGCAGCTCCAGAAGGTTCGCGCGTCAGGACTCCAGTGGCCGGGGGACGAGTGAGGCTGAAAATCAGCCCCGGGGCACACCGCATTGGCCATGCAACTTATGCAAAGTCCGTCATCCTTGTAAAAGCCCTCCTTGCAAGTGCACTGGGAAGATTGCGTGGCACCTTCAGCCGGCGTTGTCCAATTCGCTGGGCAAGCGCTGCACGCGCGCTGCCCGATCGAAGGATTCCAAAACCCTGGCAGGCACAATGCGCAACGTTCCCTCAAATAGCCTGGGCCAGACACCGGGTCCTCATCGGTCTTGAAGCTGCCTGCCGGGCAGCTCTCGCAGCAAGTCTCAACCGTGACGTCCGTGGAGTTTTCCTGGCCCAAGGCAAACTCCCAACCCGCAGGGCACAGCAAAGTAGCACACGTTGGAAGGCAGCAGCTCGTCACGTCCAAATTTGTGGAAGACTGGTTGGCAGGGTTGGCGGTGAAACCTTCGGGACACTGGTAGACTGCACAAGTTGCCGCACAGCAGTTCGACTGAGAGACATTTGTGGAGGTCTCTTGGTCGAGAACTGGCGAGTAGCCAGCGTTACAGGCGAGGCTGGCACAGGTGGCCTCACAGCATGTTTCCTGGTTCACCACAGTTGACGTGAGCTGGCTAAGGTCAGAGACGTAGGCGACAGGACAGCTGAATGTTGCGCAAGTTGCATCGCAGCAGGTTCCCGTTGAGACGTCGATTGAGGCGGATGCAACCAGGTCGGGCAGATAGCCAGAGGGGCATTGAAAAGCAGCACACGTCGGCTGGCAGCAGTCTGACACAGAAAGATCGGTGAGGGCTGATTTTGCTGGATCTGCGACATGACTCATCGGGCAAGCAAAGAGCGCACATGTCGGACGGCAGCAGTTGTCCAAGGTCACTGTGGTCGAGGGTGTCTGGGCGGGATCCACGACAAAGCCTCCATAGCATTGGAAGGTGGCACAAGTCTCTTCGCAACAATGCGACTGAGTCACCAGTGTAGAGGACTGGCGATGCGCAATTGCTTGGGTCCCTGCTGGGCATGTCAGAGTCGCACACGTTGCCGAGCAGCAGCTGCCAAGAGACACGGCAGTGATGGAAGAGGACTCGTCCACCGGAAGGTAATTTGCTGGGCATGCGAACGTAGCACATGTGGCCTCGCAACATGTCTCAGTTGTGAGATTGGTGCTGCTGACAGCAGCTGGGTTTGGCACATAATCTGCTGGGCACGTAAACAAGGCACACGTGTCCTGGCAGCAGTCACTTACAGACACGCTCGTGGAGGTCGCCTGGGAGGCATCTGCAACTTGCCCGTCTGGACATGGAAACACAGCACAGGTCGCCAAGCAGCACTCGGAGGTACTTGTTCCAAAGTTGGAGCTGATTTCAACATAGCCTGCAGGGCACACACTGAGCGCTGCACATTGAGCTGTGCAGCATTCCTCTGTGTACACCAGCGTGGACGCAGAGTTGGACAGGTTTGCTACAAACCCTGTAGGGCACGAGAAAGTTGCACAAGTGGCTTGGCAGCAGCTCTGCTGGCTGAGATCAGTGGCCAGCCTGCGGTCTGGGTTGGCCACATAATCTGCAGGGCAGGTGAATGTGGCACAAGTGGCTTGACAGCAGTTGGACTGGGTCACCGTAGTTGATCGTGAAAGCAATGGACGAGCTATGTAATCTGCAGGGCATGTGAAAGTGGCACATGTCGCTTTGCAGCAGCTGGACTGGGACAGCGTGGTGGACGCCAGTCCTGCAAGGTCTGGCACATAGCCTGCAGGGCACGTGAAGGTAGCACAGGTGGCTTCGCAGCAACTTGCTCGCGATAGCACGGTGGAGGCACTCTGAGCTGGATTTGCAACATAGCCGTCCGGGCACCCAAACGTGGCGCAGGTCGCCTCACAGCAGTTCGAAACCGAAATCTCGGTGGAGGCGCTGTTGGCAAGGTTTGGGCTGTGGCCAGCAGGGCATTGGAAAGATGAACACTCTTGCACGCAGCAGGAGGTCTGTGAGACTGTGTCAGGCGTGCCAGAAACTGGCGTGAAGCCAACTGGACACGTGAAAGCCAGACAGCTATCGAGCTTGCAACATGCCTTGTTCGAGACGATTGTGCTCTGCGCGAAGGCAGGATCATTCACGTAACCGATTGGGCACGTGAAGCCGGTGCACGTCTGAATGCAACAGCTGGCATCGGTCAGAAGCGTGGAAGCTGCCCGCGTACTGTCAACCACAAAACCACTGGAACATGTGTACGATTGGCATGTGCCTTCACAGCAATCTGATGTGCTCAGGCTTATGGAAGACATAGCTGACAGCTTCGGAACAAAGGATGCAGGACATGTGAACGATGCACAGGACGGAGAGCAACAAGTCTGGAAATCCAAGGTTGTCGCCTGGCTGTTGCCTGGATTGGGCGCGTACCCAAGGGGGCATGAAAATGATGCACAGGATGGCAAGCAGCAGTTGTCCTGTCGCACATCAGTTGAGCCCGACTTGGCTGGATCGGGCACAAAGTTGGTTTGGCATGACAAGCCAGAGCATGTGGGCAAGCAACACTCCAACACCGTCAGTGTTGAGGAATTCTCGTTGCTTGTGTCAGGAACATGATCTGCCGGGCATGAGAAGCGAGAGCATGATTCCACGCAGCAAGTTTGCTGCGACACCGGCGCACTCGTCAGCATGCTCGGATTCCTCACGTAGCCTGAGGGACAGTCGAAAGCGCTGCAAGTCATTTCACAGCAGTCGGCATCCGACACAACCGTAGAGGCCAACTTCGCTTGAACAGGAATGTGCCCTGCTGGGCAAGTGTGAGCTGCGCAAGTCCTCAAGCAGCAAAAGTCTTCACTCACAGCAGGAGCCTCCGCAGACTGTTGGATGAATCCAGGCTGGCAGGGATGGTATGCCTGTGCACATGTTTGCACACACTGGGGAATGGTCTCGAGCGCTTCATAGGTTCCGTTGTTGCAAATGTAACCTCCACCACTCGGGATAAATCCTGTAGCACATGGAACCGCACAAAGGAAGCCATCAAAGGCATTGTTGCAGGAACTGAGATCTTGGGAGTTGTTGACAACGGGCACAGTTGGGCATGGATTGCCCGCTTGCGCGACAGAAACACCAAGAACAACCCCGCGGGCTTCTCCCATTCGCCTCACTAAAGCAGTGGCACCTCCATACCTGGGGGCGAAGTTGATATCAGTGTTCTGAACTTGAACTTTCACAACCCCGCTCGAAAAATCCGAGAGCCCGCCCACAGCATACATGCCAATGACGCCCTTATCCGCGATGGCATCACAGGAGTCTGCCGGGATGACACTGTCATCTGGAGCCACTGCGTAGCACGTGATGACGGCATCGCCTGGAAGCAGGCCTTTTGCCACACAGTCTGTCAGCATGTCCACAGCTGGCGGGTTGCTCTGACAGCCAGCTCCGCGGGCAACGCTGCCACGGCATGTCTGCGTCAAGCTGGTCATCACAGGTGTACCTTGTTCGCGTGTCAGCACCATATCTCCAGAAGCACTACCGGTCAGGCTGTGGTAGGTTCCCAAAATCACTTTCAGCTGGCCAGGGTTTGATGGAGAAGTTGCGGCGCAAAACAGCGAGGAATGGGCTTGTGCAAGCTGGGCCCATTGTGCAATGAGCACAAGGACTGCACATGACCTCAGGACAAAGCTGTCGGATTCTGTCGAATCCCTCGACTTTGGGGCTTCAGTATCTTACATTACGGATCCTTCAAGACCCAAACATGTGTCTCCATGCTCTTGTGCCACTTGCGCAGCAAAGGAGTGTGCAAACTGAAAACGCTTAGCCGCTTGGCTGCCAAACCATGAACTCTCACGATGAGCAAAAGAAAAAAAAACGATGCGACAAGCTCCGTACCAAACCTGGGGGAACAAGCCCTGAGGTCGCGGCGACGCCATGATGGACTTGAGATAGCAGTCTTACGAGATTTCTCGCCTATCCGTCTAAATCAACTTGGAGCCAAAGGGCCTGGTTTGAGCATGCAGCATACTCCAAGCGTGCACGGTTCACGAACTGACAAAAGCAGATCAAAGATCATCAGAGCACATCCAAGTGAAGTGACCATTTCATGTTTCCGGAGAAACTCAGTTCCGCTGCACCCGGGCTGCTTGGCAGCGCACATGTGAAGCAGACAGGGTCGTTTTTTCTTGGCATGGGTCGGGAGCTGGGCATGGGTTTTCTCAAGTCCCAGCTTTTTTCGACCGACCGCCTCTTTCTCACAGCTGCCATCGAGCAGCCTGCAGCTCCCGCACGTCTCGGCCAAGCCGTTCTTGCCACGACCAGACGCGCGTTTGCAGCAGAAAATCAAAAGAAGAAGGGAGAAAATGGTTCCGGTGGGAACCATCAGGCGTCAGCTCAGGCTCAAAAGGTTCAGAAGGAGACGTCGACCGCCTGGACGGTGGGCCCCTCGTTTCCGTCGGCTTCCTTGGCAAAGCATTTGTGGATGATGCCCTCCAACGCCTGTGACTTGGGCTTGCTCTGCGTCGCCTCCACGTTGGTGAGGCAGCGGCGGATGGCAAATGCGAAAAGGTAGAGGAGAACCGGAGCCACGGCCACGAAAACGGTAGCGCTCGCCAGGACTGCGACGGAGACCGTGTTCCCGGCCTGCAGCAGGATTAGGACTCCCAGCGATAGCGCGTAGAGAAGAATTTCCCAGTCGTTCACAAACTCCCAACGGTTTGCCTTCATCAAGCCTGCGAACGCCAACAACCCCATCAGCACGAAGGAGCATTCTATCGTCCTTGAATCGGAGTTCCCGGAGTCTCTCGGAAGGGTCATGACTGCCACTGTCATCGCCACCCTGAAGAGAGTCCGCAACCATGACCATGAGCAGGACCAGAACAGCTCTAACAGGAAGAACCACTTGCTCTTTGGGTAGAGCTCTTGAACCTTCTCGGCCATGTCTGCAATGTCAACGTCCAAGTGCTCCGTCCCTTTCGGTACCTGGGGGCCGTCGGTGCCATTGCCTTCTTTCTGCTCAGTGAGCGCCACCATCTTCAGGGCAAGCTCTGCCATATCCTGCTCCTTCTTCTCGAGCACGTGGGAGTTGAACCGTTGCCAGACCTCCTTCCGGGATGCTGGCGTCTGGAGGTGCTCGGTGAAGGTCGGGAAGTCTTGCACCGCACGGCGCAAGGACCCGGAGTGGCCCTTCAGATGCTTGGTCCAAGGTTCCGCGAAGAGCACGTACCAGTGGACTCGGCCGCTTGAGGTCACACCTTCACCTTCACCACACTGCCACTTCCAGGTCCTCACCATGGCAAAGAATACCAAAGACAGCAGCAAGCTCCAAACCGAGAGATCGGCTATGGAGACGTAGGCTAGCCTCTTCCACTCCTCTGAGCCGTCCTGATGGAGCAGAGGGAACAAGAGCCGAGATGTAGACAGGGAGCAGATTCAAGCAAGCCTAAGCCTAAGCCATCCCGCAACATCCCAAACCCGTCCTTGAAGCCGCAATACAACAGAGGATCCTCAGCCAGGCACATCCGCCCAGATTCGCATCTCACGCAGTTGACGAAGATCAGGTCCAGCCTGAATCGAGCAGTAATCAGGAGCATGATCAGGAAGGAGGTGCTTTCCATCAGTATGCCTGTGAGGTGGGTCTTAGTGGTCTTAGTAGCCTTTGCCATGACGAACTGCACAAGCACCAGCACCATGTTCCCCAAAACGATTGCCCAGTGCAAGCACCAGTCTAGAGACCAGTTGTTGATGAAAGAACTGCCCAGAGAACAGTGTGTGAACACGCTGGTATCGAAAGCAGCGAGGGTCACGATGGCTTTCCAAACATCCTGAAGGGGCCCTGTGCTCGATTGCCAGTTCGGGAACAACGTAAACACCCACAGGAACTGCAGGACTGCAATGGCTGCAAAGAACAGCGTAGCTTCGGCTTCCATTGTCATGGCCTGCCCCAGCCGTCCCAAGACCTTCTTGTGATGCCTGCAGACCTCTCGGAAGCTGGTATTCAGGACATCCGTGGCAGCCTCCCATCGCAGGATCACCATGGTGGCAAGCAAAGCCAGGACTAGAACAATCCGTCCCATGATGCTAAGGACCTTCTGGAATCCGCTGCACTGGTAGCATACGGCGTTTGTCATGTAATGGTCCTCTGCACATGGCACACATCGAACACCATCCGGAGCCCTTCCAGCGGCACATTCATTGGTGGATGTTGTGCTGCCCGCCAGGCAGGAGTCTGAAGGAAAGCAGCTCCAGAAGGTTCGCGCGTCAGGACTCCAGTGGCCGTGGGACGAGTGAGGCTGAAAATCAGCCCCGGGGCACACCGCATTGGCCATGCAACTTATGCAAAGTCCGTCATCCTTGTAAAAGCCCTCCTTGCAAGTGCACTGGGAAGATTGCGTGGCACCTTCAGCCGGCGTTGTCCAATTCGCTGGGCAAGCGCTGCACGCGCGCTGCCCGATCGAAGGATTCCAAAACCCTGGCAGGCACAATGCGCAACGTTCCCTCAAATAGCCTGGGCCAGACACCGGGTCCTCATCGGTCTTGAAGCTGCCTGCCGGGCAGCTCTCGCAGCAAGTCTCAACCGTGACGTCCGTGGAGTTTTCCTGGCCCAAGGCAAACTCCCAACCCGCAGGGCACAGCAAAGTAGCACACGTTGGAAGGCAGCAGCTCGTCACGTCCAAATTTGTGGAAGACTGGTTGGCAGGGTTGGCGGTGAAACCTTCGGGACACTGGTAGACTGCACAAGTTGCCGCACAGCAGTTCGACTGAGAGACATTTGTGGAGGTCTCTTGGTCGAGAACTGGCGAGTAGCCAGCGTTACAGGCGAGGCTGGCACAGGTGGCCTCACAGCATGTTTCCTGGTTCACCACAGTTGACGTGAGCTGGCTGAGATCAGATACATATGCGACGGGACAGCTGAATGTTGCGCAAGTTGCATCGCAGCAGGCTCCCGTTGAGACGTCGATTGAGGCGGATGCAACCAGGTCGGGCAGATAGCCAGAGGGGCATTGAAAAGCAGCACACGTCGGCTGGCAGCAGTCTGACACAGAAAGATCGGTGAGGGCTGATTTTGCTGGATCTGCGACATGACTCATCGGGCAAGCAAAGAGCGCACATGTCGGACGGCAGCAGTTGTCCAAGGTCACTGTGGTCGAGGGTGTCTGGGCGGGATCCACGACAAAGCCTCCATAGCATTGGAAGGTGGCACAAGTGTCTTCGCAACAATGCGACTGAGTCACCAGTGTAGAGGACTGGCGATGCGCAATTGCTTGGGTCCCTGCTGGGCATGTCAGAGTCGCACACGTTGCCGAGCAGCAGCTACCAAGAGACACGGCAGTGATGGAAGAGGACTCGTCCACCGGAAGGTAATTTGCAGGGCATGTGAATGTGGCACATGTGGCCTCGCAACATGTCTCAGTTGTGAGATTGGTGCTGCTGACAGCAGCTGGGTTTGGCACATAATCTGCCGGGCACGTAAACAGGGCACACGTGTCCTGGCAGCAGTCACTTACAGACACGCTCGTAGAAGTGGCCTGGGAGGCATCTGCAACTTGCCCGTCTGGACATGGAAACACAGCACAGGTCGCCAAGCAGCACTCGGAGGTACTGGTTCCAAAGTTGGAGCTGATTTCCACATAGCCTGCAGGGCACACGCTGAGCGCAGCACATTGAGCTGTGCAGCATTCCTCTGTGTACACCAGCGTGGACGCAGAGTTGGACAGGTTTGCTACAAATCCTGTAGGGCACGAGAAAGTTGCACAAGTGGCTTGGCAGCAGCTCTGCTGACTGAGATCAGTGGCCAGCCTGCGGTCTGGGTTGGCCACATAATCTGCAGGGCAGGTGAATGTGGCACAAGTGGCTTGACAGCAGTTGGACTGGGTCACCGTAGTTGATCGTGAAAGCAATGGACGAGCTATGTAATCTGCAGGGCATGTGAAAGTGGCACATGTCGCTTTGCAGCAGCTGGACTGGGACAGCGTGGTGGACGCCAGCCCTGCAAGGTCTGTCACATAGCCTGCAGGGCACGTGAAGGTAGCACAGGTGGCTTCGCAGCAACTTGCTCGCGACAGTACGGTGGAGGCACTCTGAGCTGGATTTGCAACATAACCGTCCGGGCACCCAAATGTGGCGCAGGTCGCCTCACAGCAGTTCGAAACGGAAATCTCGGTGGAGGCGCTGTTGGCAAGGTTTGGGCTGTAGCCAGCAGGGCATTGGAAAGATGAACACTCTTGCACGCAGCAGGAGGTCTGTGAGACTGTGCTAGGCGTGCCAGAAACTGGCGTGAAGCCAACTGGACACGTGAAAGCCAGACAGCTATCGAGCTTGCAACATGCCTTGTTCGAGACGATTGTGCTCTGCGCGAAGGCAGGATCATTCACGTAACCGATTGGGCACGTGAAGCCTGCGCACGTCTGAATGCAACAGCTGGCATCGGTCAGAAGCGTGGAAGCTGCCCGCGTACTGTCAACCACAAAACCACTGGAACATGTGTACGATTGGCATGTGCCTTCACAGCAATCTGATGTGCTCAGGCTTATGGCAGACATAGCTGACAGCTTCGGAACAAAGGATGCAGGACATGTGAACGATGCACAGGACGGAGAGCAACAAGTCTGGAAATCCAAGGTTGTCGCCTGGCTGTTGCCTGGATTGGGCGCGTACCCAAGGGGGCATGAAAATGATGCACAGGATGGCAAGCAGCAGTTTTCCTGTCGCACATCAGTTGAGCCCGACTTGGCTGGATCGGGCACAAAGTTGGCTTGGCATGACAAGCCAGAGCATGTGGGCAAGCAACACTCCAACACCGTCAGTGTTGAGGAATTCTCGTTGCTTGTGTCAGGAACATGATCTGCCGGGCATGAGAAGCGAGAGCAAGATTCCACGCAGCAAGTTTGCTGCGACACCGGCGCACTCGTCAGCATGCTCGGATTCCTCACGTAGCCTGAGGGACAGTCGAAAGCGCTGCAAGTCATTTCACAGCAGTCGGCATCCGACACAACCGTAGAGGCCAACTTCGCTTGAACAGGAATGTGCCCTGCTGGGCAAGTGTGAGCTGCGCAAGTCCTCAAGCAGCAAAAGTCTTCACTCACAGCAGGAGCCTCCGCAGACTGTTGGATGAATCCAGGCTGGCAGGGATGGTATGCCTGTGCACATGTTTGCACACACTGGGGAATGGTCTCGAGCGCTTCATAGGTTCCGTTGTTGCAAATGTAACCTCCACCACTCGGGATAAATCCTGTTGCACATGGAACCGCACAAAGGAAGCCATCAAAGGCATTGTTGCAGGAACTGAGATCTTGGGAGTTGTTGACAACGGGCACAGTTGGGCATGGATTGCCCGCTTGCGCGAGAGAAACACCAAGAACAACCCCGCGGGCTTCTCCCATTCGCCTCACTAAAGCAGTGGCACCTCCATACCTGGGGGCGAAGTTGATATCAGTGTTCTGAACTTGAACCTTCACAACCCCGCTCGAAAAATCCGAGAGCCCGCCCACAGCATACATGCCAATGACGCCCTTATCCGCGATGGCATCACAGGAGTCTGCCGGGATGACACTGTCATCTGGAGCCACTGCGTAGCACGTGATGACGGCATCGCCTGGAAGCAGGCCTTTTGCCACACAGTCTGTCAGCATGTCCACAGCTGGCGGGTTGCTCTGACAGCCAGCTCCGCGGGCAACGCTGCCACGGCATGTCTGCGTCAAGCTGGTCATCACAGGTGTACCTTGTTCGCGTGTCAGCACCATATCTCCAGAAGCACTACCGGTCAGGCTGTGGTAGGTTCCCAAAATCACTTTCAGCTGGCCAGGGTTTGATGGAGAAGTTGCGGCGCAAAACAGCGAGGAATGGGCTTGTGCAAGCTGGGCCCATTGTGCAATGAGCACAAGGACTGCACATGACCTCAGGACAAAGCTGTCGGATTCTGTCGAATCCCTCGACTTTGGGGCTTCAGTGTCTTACATTACGGATCCTTCAAGACCCAAACATGTGTCTCCATGCTCTTGTGCCACTTGCGCAGCAAAGGAGTGTGCAAACTGAAAACGCTTAGCCGCTTGGCTGCCAAACCATGAACTCTCACGATGGGCAAAAGAAAAAAAACGATGCGACAAGCTCCGTACCTCACCTGAGGGCTTGGGGACTTGTGGCCCGAATGGAACAAGCCCTGAGGTCGCGGCGACGCCATGATGGACTTGAGATAGCAGTCTTACGAGATTTCTCGCCTATCAGTCTAAATCAGCTTGGAGCCAAAGGGCCTGGTTTGAGCATGCAGCATACTCCAAGCGTGCACGTTCACGAACTGACAAAAGCAGATCAAAGATCATCAGAGCACATCCAAGTGAAGTGACCATTTCATGTTTCCGGAGAAGCTCAGTTCCGCTGCACCCGGGCTGCTTGGCAGCGCACATGTGAAGCAGACAGGGTCTTTTTTTCTTGGCATGGGTCGGGAGCTGGGCATGGGTTTTCTCAAGTGCCCAGCTTTTTTCGACCGACCGCCACTTTCTCACAGCTGCCATCGAGCAGCCTGCAGCTCCGCACGTCTCGGCCAAGCCGTTCTTGCCACGACCAGACACGCATTTGCAGCAGAAAATCAAAAGAAGAAGGGAGAAAATGATTCCGGTGGGAACCATCAGGCGTCAGCTCAGGCTCTATAGGGTTCAGAAGGCGACGTCGACCGCCTGGACGGTGGGCCCCTCGTTTCCGTCGGCTTCCTTGGCAAAGCACTTGTGGATGATGCCCTCCAACGCCTGTGACTTGGGCTTGCTCTGCGTCGCCTCCACGTTGGTGAGGCAGCGGCGGATGGCAAATGCGAAAAGGTAGAGGAGAACCGGAGCCACGGCCACGAAAACGGTAGCGCTCGCCAGGACTGCGACGGAGACCGTGTTCCCGGCCTGCAGCAGGATTAGGACTCCCAGCGATAGCGCGTAGAGAAGAATTTCCCAGTCGTTCACAAACTCCCAACGGTTTGCCTTCATCAAGCCTGCGAACCCCAACAACCCCATCAGCACGAAGGAGCATTCTATCGTCCTTGAATCGGAGTTCCCGGAGTCTCTCGGAAGGGTCATGACTGCCACTGTCATCGCCACCCTGAAGAGAGTCCGCAACCATGACCATGAGCAGGACCAGAACAGCTCTAACAGGAAGAACCACTTGCTCTTTGGGTAGAGCTCTTGAACCTTCTCGGCCATGTCTGCAATGTCAACGTCCAAGTGCTCCGTCCCTTTCGGTACCTGGGGGCCGTCGGTGCCATTGCCTTCTTTCTGCTCAGTGAGCGCCACCATCTTCAGGGCAAGCTCTGCCATATCCTGCTCCTTCTTCTCGAGCACGTGGGAGTTGAACCGTTGCCAGACCTCCTTCCGGGATGCTGGCGTCTGGAGGTGCTCGGTGAAGGTCGGGAAGTCTTGCACCGCACGGCGCAAGGACCCGGAGTGGCCCTTCAGATGCTTGGTCCAAGGTTCCGCGAAGAGCACGTACCAGTGGACTCGGCCGCTTGAGGTCACACCTTCACCTTCACCACACTGCCACTTCCAGGTCCTCACCATGGCAAAGAACACCAAAGACAGCAGCAAGCTCCAAACCGAGAGATCGGCTATGGAGACGTAGGCTAGCCTCTTCCACTCCTCTGAGCCGTCCTGATGGAGCAGAGGGAACAAGAGCCGAGATGTAGACAGGGAGCAGATTCAAGCAAGCCTAAGCCTAAGCCATCCCGCAACATCCCAAACCCGTCCTTGAAGCCGCAATACAACAGAGGATCCTCAGCCAGGCACATCCGCCCAGATTCGCATCTCACGCAGTTGACGAAGATCAGGTCCAGCCTGAATCGAGCAGTAATCAGGAGCATGATCAGGAAGGAGGTGCTTTCCATCAGTATGCCTGTGAGGTGGGTCTTAGTGGTCTTAGTAGCCTTTGCCATGACGAACTGCACAAGCACCAGCACCATGTTCCCCAAAACGATTGCCCAGTGCAAGCACCAGTCTAGAGACCAGTTGTTGATGAAAGAACTGCCCAGAGAACAGTGTGTGAACACGCTGGTATCGAAAGCAGCGAGGGTCACGATGGCTTTCCAAACATCCTGAAGGGACCCTGTGCTCGATTGCCAGTTCGGGAACAACGTAAACACCCACAGGAACTGCAGGACTGCAATGGCTGCAAAGAACAGCGTAACTTCGGCTTCCATTGTCATGGCCTGCCCCAGCCGTCCCAAGACCTTCTTGTGATGCCTGCAGACCTCTCGGAAGCTGGTATTCAGGACATCCGTGGCAGCCTCCCATCGCAGGATCACCATGGTGGCAAGCAGAGCCAGGACTAGAACAATCCGTCCCATGATGCTAAGGACCTTCTGGAATCCGCTGCACTGGTAGCATTCGGCGTTTGTCATGTAATGGTCCTCTGCACATGGCACACATCGAACACCATCCGGAGCCCTTCCAGCGGCACATTCATTGGTGGATGTTGTGCTGCCCGCCAGGCAGGAGTCTGAAGGAAAGCAGCTCCAGAAGGTTCGCGCGTCAGGACTCCAGTGGCCGTGGGACGAGTGAGGCTGAAAATCAGCCCCGGGGCACACCGCATTGGCCATGCAACTTATGCAAAGTCCGTCATCCTTGTAAAAGCCCTCCTTGCAAGTGCACTGGGAAGATTGCGTGGCACCTTCAGCCGGCGTTGTCCAATTCGCTCGGCAAGCGCTGCACGCACGCTGCCCGATCGAAGGATTCCAAAACCCTGGCAAGCACAATGCACAACGTTCCCTCAAATAGCCTGGGCCAGACACCGGGTCCTCATCGGTCTTGAAGCTGCCTGCCGGGCAGCTCTCGCAGCAAGTCTCAACCGTGACGTCCGTGGAGTTTTCCTGGCCCAAGGCAAACTCCCAACCCGCAGGGCACAGCAAAGTAGCACACGTTGGAAGGCAGCAGCTCGTCACGTCCAAATTTGTGGAAGACTGGTTGGCAGGGTTGGCGGTGAAACCTTCGGGACACTGGTAGACTGCACAAGTTGCCTCGCAGCAGTTTGACTGAGAGACATTTGTGGAGGCCTCTTGGTCGAGAACTGGCGAGTAGCCAGCGTTACAGGCGAGGCTGGCACAGGTGGCCTCACAGCATGTTTCCTGGTTCACCACAGTTGACGCGAGCTGGCTGAGATCAGATACATATGCGACGGGACAGCTGAATGTTGCGCAAGTTGCATCACAGCAGGTTCCTGTTGAGACGTCGACTGAGGCAGATGCAATCAGGTCAGGCAGATAGCCAGAGGGGCATTGAAAGGCAGCGCACGTCGGCTGGCAGCAGTCTGACACAGAAAGATCGGTGAAGGCTGATTTTGCTGGATCTGCGACATAGCTCATCGAGCAGGCAAAAAGCGCACATGTCGGACGGCAGCAATTGTCCAAGGTCACTGTGGTTGAGGTTGTCTGGGCGGGATCCACAACAAAGCCTCCGTAGCATTGGAAGGCGGCACAAGTATCTTCGCAGCAATGCGACTGAGTCACCAGTGTAGAGGACTGGCGATGCGCAATTGCTTGGGTCCCTGCTGGGCATGTCAGAGTCGCGCACGTTGCCGAGCAGCAGCTACCAAGAGACACAGCATTGATGGAAGAGGACTCGTCCACCGGAAGGTAATTTGCAGGGCATGTGAATGTAGCACATGTGGCCTCGCAACATGTCTCAGTTGTGAGATTGGTGCTGCTGACAGCAGCTGGGTTTGGCACATAATCTGCTGGGCACGTAAACAAGGCACACGTGTCCTGGCAGCAGTCACTTACAGACACGCTCGTAGAAGTGGCCTGGGAGGCATCTGCAACTTGCCCGTCTGGACATGGAAACACAGCACAGGTCGCCAAGCAGCACTCGGAGGTACTGGTTCCAAAGTTGGAGCTGATTTCCACATAGCCTGCAGGGCACACGCTGAGCGCAGCACATTGAGCTGTGCAGCATTCCTCTGTGTACACCAGCGTGGACGCAGAGTTGGACAGGTTTGCTACAAATCCTGTAGGGCACGAGAAAGTTGCACAAGTGGCTTGACAGCAGCTCTGCTGACTGAGATCAGTGGCCAGCCTGCGGTCTGGGTTGGCCACATAATCTGCAGGACAGGTGAATGTGGCACAAGTGGCTTGACAGCAGTTGGATTGGGTCACCGTAGTTGATCGGGAAAGCAATGGATGCGCAATGTAATCTGCCGGGCATGTGAAAGTCGCACATGTCGCTTTGCAGCAGCTGGACTGGGACAGCGTGGTGGACGCCAGTCCTGCAAGGTCTGGCACATAGCCTGCAGGGCACGTGAAGGTAGCACAGGTGGCTTCGCAGCAACTTGCTCGCGACAGTACGGTGGAGGCACTCTGAGCTGGATTTGCAACATAACCGTCCGGGCACCCAAATGTGGCGCAGGTCGCCTCACAGCAGTTCGAAACGGAAATCTCGGTGGAGGCGCTGTTGGCAAGGTTTGGGCTGTAGCCAGCAGGGCATTGGAAAGATGAACACTCTTGCACGCAGCAGGAGGTCTGTGAGACTGTGCTGGGCGTGCCAGAAACTGGCGTGAAGCCAACTGGACACGTGAAAGCCAGACAGCTATCGAGCTTGCAACATGCCTTGTTCGAGACGATGGTGCTCTGCGCGAAGGCAGGATCATTCACGTAACCGATTGGGCACGTGAAGCCGGCACACGTCTGAATGCAACAGCTGGCATCGGTCAGAAGCGTGGAAGCTGCACGCGTACTGTCAACCACAAAACCACGGGAACATGTGTACGATTGGCATGTGCCTTCACAGCAATCTGATGTGCTCAGGCTTATGGAAGACATAGCTGACAGCTTCGGAACAAAGGATGCAGGACATGTGAACGACACACAGGACAAAGAGCAACAAGTCTCGAAATCCAAGGTTGTCGCCTGGCTGTTGCCTGGATTGGGCGCGTACCCAAGGGGGCATGAAAATGATGCACAGGATGGCAAGCAGCAGTTTTCCTGTCGCACATCAGTTGAGCCCGACTTGGCTGGATCGAGCACAAAGTTGGCTTGGCATGACAACCCAGAGCATGTGGGCAAGCAACACTCCAGCACGGTCAGTGTTGAGGAATTCTCGTTGCTTGTGTCAGGAACATGATCTGCCGGGCATGAAAAGCGAGAGCAAGTTTCAACACAGCAAGTTTGCTGCGACACCGGCGCACTCGTCAGCATGCTCGGATTCCTCACGTAGCCTGCGGGACAGTCGAAAGCACCGCAAGTCATTTCGCAGCAGTCGGCATCCGACACAACCGTAGAGGCCAACTTCGCTTGAATAGGAATGTGCAATGCTGGGCAAGCGTGAGCTGCGCAAGTCTTCACGCAGCAAAAGTCTCGACTGACAGCAGGAGCATCCGCGGACTGTTGCATGAATCCAGGCTGGCAGGGAAAGTATGCCTGTGCACATGTATGCACTGTTGTCGTTGACGACGTTGTCGTTGACGTCGCCGTGCTAGTTGTTAATGATGTTGTGGCCGTCAGCAACTGAGATCTCAAGACATGATCTACATCATTTACGCACACTTTCAAAAGGCGGCTTTCGGACCTAGATACTATCAGTTCTCAGCTTGACGCGAACAGCTGAGCCCAGGACGGTGAGCCAGTGTTCTCCGTCAGTTCCCCAGCTCAGGACTGAGCTGTTCGAAAAAACGAAGGCAAAGTTGCGCTCATTGGAATGAAGGTCAACCACGTCGGTGAGATCGAAGTGAGCGTTTGCATCCCCACCATAAAGAGCTCCCCAAGCCACAACCGTGCCATCTGCCTTCAGGGCAGCGAAAGCCCTCCGTGTCGAAACCAGCTTGTCTACGTTGATCAATTGGGCGCTGACGCTGCCGGAGTTTCCACCCCAGTTAGAACCGTAGCCAGACGGGCCCGCTGTCACGACCGTGCCGTCTGTCTTGATTCCGGCAAAGGCCCAAGTCTGTGATGACGTAAGGCTAAGCACATTTGTCCACAGGGCACTGAACGCGCCCCAAATGACGACTGTGCCGTCCGTCTTCTTGGCAGCAAAAGCACGTGGACACGAGTACAAGGCCTCCACATTTGTCAATTGGGCTGCGACACTGCTGGAATCTCCACCCGCACTTGCCTGGCCCCAAGTCACAACGGTGCCATCCGCCTTTAGCGCACCAAAAACACTGGGGCCACCATGGACCAGGCGCACATTTGTCAATTGCGCACTGACGCTGCTGGAGTCTC